TATGAAAATAAACAAGCTGAAAACACTAACTGAAAAACCTTTAGTGCTTTTCTATAGTATTAAGCCTCAAATGTCAAATATACATCGGGTTGGCTTCTTCTTTAAATAAAAATATGAATGGTATCATAATGTTACACTAAAACTAAAACAATGGAAAAACATAAGATAACTTGTAGAAAGAAAAAAACATATCTTAAGCGTGCAGAATAACATAAGTGGACTTTGAACGATTAATTGACGCTTTGAACGATTACGTAATTGTGGCATCCATAATTGTAATTGCGATTAGAAATTTGATTCATTGTGCAGCTCAAAACCCTAACAACACCTAGTATTGTCCAGAACTGTAATGTGGTGTTTTGGGTTGTGTTTCTTGTTCATGTTTTCATGTCTTTTATTTTGGAGTTTAGTCAGGATAATATTCTATTCCATAAAGACTTAGCAACCCTAATAGGGCTGCACGATTATGACAAAAATCATAATTGTCGATTATTCCCTTGGAATTGTAATTGCGATTATTAATAACGATTATCACAATTTACACTGAATGATGTTTATACCATTGTTTGATGCAACTGCATGCCCTACTAACAGCTCACGACTTTGATGGTTTTAATTTCATCAATGAACATGGCAGTGCACAATTCTCCACACCACAAACCGTCAAGCACATCTTACCAGCAAACATACACTCGTTCACATCGTTCTCTCGCTCATCGTTCTCTATTCGAATTTAATATGCATAATTTCAGTTAGGGGGAAGAAAAGCATTTGGCTTCTCTCCTGAGGCCACAAGAGGGCGCATCAAGCAAAACATAAGATAACATGACTATCTGTGAAAAAAGTGCATAATGTTTAAAATAATGTTTATAAACTAATTATAATTAAGTTGCTTAAACAACTATAAACAAAACAGCATCACGTATGCACGAGTTGCAGTGGGATGGAGAAAAAACCCCGCCATTAAGTCTCAAGATATGCTTTTTCAAAGTTGAACTTGCATTTATTTTACATGGCTTTCTAAACATGCGGCTCTTTTGTGCGAGACGCGAGTGCAACTGTGATAGATGTCCCTCTAGAAAATGCACAAAATATGTGTTCTGTGTGAACGGCTTGGTTTCAGTTTTGACGTAAACAAG